GGGCGGGGGCGCCCGGCGGTCTCGGAGGGCGTGGGAGCCCGGCTCCGCGGCGAGGACCCCAGTCGCACCGCTGGGCCCTGCGCTGAGGGCGGCCCCGCGCGGGGCGAGCGCACAGAGAGCCCGACCTCAGGCTTCTATTTGCACAGCGCGCAGTCCCGGTTAGCACCCGGCCGCCCACCTGGGGCTCAGGCCCCGGAAGGCTGGGAGGGAGGGGGCGGTGTAGAGAGGGGTGGTCTCTGTGGGTGAAACGTGTCAGGGAGGCTTCACAGAGAAGGAGCTGCACAGGCTGAGCCCGGAGGCGTGAGCGGCACAGAAAGCCTGGGGGCGAAGGACACTTCTGCCTGCCCGCCTGGGGTTGAAACGCTAGGGGACTCGGGAGCCGCGGGCTCGCCCCTGCGTTTATTAAACGACTGTTGCACACGCTTTATGAAGCGACTGGAGCTCAGCTGCGTGAGTGCCTCGCCAGAGAGGCTCACTTACCCCCACTGCCCCAGGAAGAAGAAATTTGGAGATGGGGTACTCGGCAGACATCAGAATGGAGAGCAGCGCTGGGGGGCCCTGGGTGGGGGATGCCAACCCTAGGGCTCGGAGGAAGGCCGAGGGGGGAGCTGGTGGCAGAGGCTGAGCTGCCAGCGATGTGCGGGGTCCTGGGGCACTGCAGGGCAGGAGGACCCAGTGTGGCTGCGGCTTCTGTGTCTCTCTTCACAAGGACGAGAGCCCTCCTCCCACTTTCGGGCAAGCCCAGTGGGGCGGGGACCTGCAGCAGACAGACAGGGGAGAGGGTGACCTGGCTTGGCTCTGGGCTGCCCCAGCCAACTGCCTCTGGCCCACCCGGCTTGTGGCTTCTTGGACTCAGTTTGCTCATCAGGGAAATGGACCATGAAAGCCCCCGTTTGAACTGCTGCTCCTGCCATCCCACAGCTCCAGGTGCAGCCTGGAGACACCCCAGCCTCTTGAGGCTAGACCTCAGGACCCTGGAAGGTCCCACTCCTCTGTGCCCACCCGACAGATGAGCGCCTCTGTTGTATGCTGCCCTCGTTGCCTGCTCTGGTCAAACCCATGTCCCCCAGACTGGCCAGGGGCATCATCAGCTCTGTGTGGGTCTGGCCAATGGGCAGCACGAGAGGGAGATGGGCACTTCCACTGTTCCTGAAGGGTGGGCGTGAGCCCCCCTCTTCCTCCAGTGACAGGCCTCGGTTGACCCCTGGGTACTAGACACCCTGGATTCCTTTCCTAGGGTTGCTGTCACAAATTTCCACAAACTAGTTACCTGAAATGTAGTCTCCCCGTTCTGAGGCCAGCAGTCTGACATCAGGGTGGGGCCATTCCTCCCACCTGCTCCACACCCCCTGGCCCCGCCCCAGACTCTAGGGGAGGATCCTTCCCGCCTCTTCCTGCCTCTTGTGGTTCCTGGATCCCTTGGCTTGTGGCTGCATCGCTCTGATCTCTGCCCCCATAGTCACATGGCTTCTCTTCTGTTTTTTAGGGACACTTGTCATCGGATGTAGGGCCACCCAGATAATCCAAGCTGATCTCCTGATCTCAAGAGCTTAACATAATGACCGCAAAAGACTCTTTTTCCAAATAAGGTCACATTCCCAGGTTCTGGGGGTCAGGACATGGATCTCCCTTTTGGAGGCCCCCATCCTGCCCTTCATACACCCCACAGTGGCTGGTTTCTTTGGTGCCGCCCACAGTTTGAAATGGTCCCTTCACTACGGCCTGTTTCCAGTGGCACCGTCTGGTGGCATTTAGGTCAAAGTTCAGGAGCATTTGCATGGCTCTAGGCTGCTGACTCTGCCCAATTGCTTCCAGAGGGTTTGAGCACTGCCTCTTGCGAACCCCCGGAGGAGTCGCTGCCCATTTTGTCCCACCCTCGCCACTGGGGGGAGGGAATTGCTTGAAGGCAGTTTTATTATTCTTGACAAAATAATTTTCTTGTTCACAATTATTGTTTCCAAGTCAGCCCGTTCAGCTGGAGCCAGTTGTTCGGCGGGGCCTTCCCCAGACACGGGGCGAGCCGTCGTTCAGTGCGCCTGTGCCCTGTTTCCCAGAGCTGGGTGAAGCTGCCTCTAAAGGAGCTGTTAGCAGCCACTATTTCATCATGGCCCTCTTGACAGAGCACTTCCCCCAGGACCCTTCTGGAATGGCCTGGCTTCAGTCCTCCTGGCACCCCGGTGCGGTAGGCACTCCTCGGGCCCACTGGAGCCCGAGGTGTGGTGTTGACACGCCCCCCACTCCCCCCTGAAGTCCCCACCCCATCTCCCAAGGACCGCAGCGCGGGGAGTGGAGGTGAGGCTGAGAGCGAGGCAAGAGTGGGGGTCTGACGGGCAGCCCAGCCCAGCCCAGCCTGGTCGGTGAGTCAGAGCTGGGTGGCCCGGCTTGCTGGGGCTTGTGCTGGTGAGCGGGCTGCTGTGTGCCCTGGGCGCTGGGATCACAGCAGGCTGTCAACAGCCAGCCCTGCATCTGCCCCTCCTTACCTCCCCTTCCAGGCCTGGGCTGATGCTGGGGTCACGGCGGTGAGGTGCACTCAGCAATGGGGATGTTCCTGGTGTGGACTTGAGTCTCCACCCCGCCTGCTATCCTCAGCACTCCTGGCAGGCCGCGGCTGCCACGGTGCCCGATAGGTGCCCATCGAGGCCAGAGCCAGGCCTGGGAACCGGGGCAGGGGGAGCCCTGGCCAGAGCTTC